TTAGAATAAATTATTAATAACTTTACAAATTCTTCTGAAAAATTAAGATTTTAATTAATTTGTAGAATTATATTATATAGATATTATTAAAATAACATTAAATACAAATATATAACATTATTTTAGATTAAATTAAATTATGTGTGTATGGATGTATTTATGTTAAATATAATATTATGTATTTTGAATATTAAAAATATTAATAATTGTAAATTTAATATCATTGATAAAATTATAAGATCAAAAACCTTTCTTGCAATTCAAATGAAAAATAATCAAGCACAGAAAAAAAATCATTGAAAACAATATTTTATTACGATTTCGTTTCTTATAACGGAGCTATATACACAAAAATATTTTCTTTGTTATGCGATTTTTCAAAATACAAAAAAAAAATCTTCCTTGTATAAGGATTAAATTTAAATTTAATTTTATTTTTTAAGTATTTTACGCATTAAGAAAATTATGATCTAAAAATAATAAATTTTCTTCGCATATTATTTAAAATACTTTAATCTATTTATGTTCACAAATTCGATTTATAAACTCAGGTTTTACAATTTGATTGCGAGTCTTCAGAACAATATTAAAGAAAAATTAAAAATTTTTAATTGCTAATGGTTCTTCTGAAAACGTAATTTTAACTTAATACTGAATTGAAATGTATATGCTTAGGGCCTGATCGTCTATCTCCCTATTTTACTCGGCAAGTGAGAAGAAAGTAAGTAAGTATCATATGTATAATATACTCGTATACTTGTATAATGTATACTTTGTGAATAAATTTTTTATAAATATTAGAAAAAATGCAAAAATCCAATACGAAATGTTTGACAAGGTATATGGAACAAGAAGAGTAATGACAACTCCAGTTTCTAGAATTGCATTTTCAAATATAACTTAGCTAAAGATCTACTAAAACTTCTTCCTGCTAAAAAACAAACTATAAGTTTTTGAAGTTATCAATCAATGCAAAAAATTTTTTTTAGTTTTAAGTTAGAAATGCGTACGGATGCTCCATTTTCAGAAGAACCTTAACATATAGTATTTAAAAATAATTGCTTTCATTTGATTAACGTATTCATTCACATTTTTTTATACTTCTTGTTAATTTAATTACATATTTTTAATTAAAGAGTAGATCTAATTTTCAAACTAAAAAAAGATGCCTTAAATTTATGTTGGATCACGTCACATTAGATCCAGACGTTGTAGGTAATTTAAAATTTTTTTTTACACATTGTATACAATAAGCCTTACAATTTTAGGTTTCATTTATACAGATTCAAGGTAAAAATGCGTTTTTAAGTGAAAAATAATGAAATAAACAATTTTTTCATTAATAATTTTAAAAGTCTATAGAATTTCTTTTTGGAAAAATGCATATGCAGACAGCACACGTATAATATATACAATACAGGTTGTATTTTTATATTACGTAACACAAGTCTCATTTTACAACAAACATGTTTTACGAGAAGAAAACATTATTGAAAGTTCATTTGCCTTTTAAAGAAAAATCGAAAGACCAAGACCTTCAATAATTTTCTATAATATTGGCATAATTAATTTGTACAAAAAATTTGAAAAATAAAAAAATATTAAAAAACAAAAAAGGGAAATTAAAATTTTGTAATTGTATTAATTGTTCACATACTAGTTTTAAAACGATTTAACTACAAAATTTTGAATGTTTTGAACTATGGAAATTATGGACCTGAATATGTATTTTGGATTGTCGAAAAATAATAATAATTCAGGCTTATTATGTATTGCGAATTCAACATATTGGCAATATTCTACAATGCTGTCGTTACAAATGAAAAATTACCGAATAAATCCATTCGCCTTTACATTTTAATACATACTTTAAATACTAGAAAATTTGCTAAAAAATAATAAGAAAGATAATCAGAATCTAGAATTTTAGAACAATCTGTTAGCTTTCGATTGAATTCGAAACGATTGTTTTATATCGACAGCATGTCGAATTTCGCGAAGCTAAAAAGATTTTAAAATTATGTTCGGATTCAAGTCTTAGTTTGAGATTTCTGGTTGTATTTGAATAAGTCATATTATAGTTCTTTGAATTTGATTTTCTATTATATCTTAGATTTTCTTTTTTATTGAATAGATTTATTTGTATTCACATTCTACATGTAGAACAAAATACTTCGAGACTACGAAATTTCATATGATTAAATAATTAGATTAGGTTAGTTTAATGCAGCTACCGTAAGGTACACATAGGCCAGTAAGGCCTGTTGTAATACCGCCGCCTTTAGCAATATCCCCTTAGTAATGCTAAGAAAAATAAAATTTAGATTTTCTTATTGAAATATCGATAACTAAAATAATTTGACTTATGAGATTTCAAAAATAAGAAAACAAATTATTTGTAATTTAATAACTGAATTGAAAAATAATAAACCACGTTTAAATAACAAATTTATTATAAAATAAATGCTGAATTATAAAAAAAATTCATATACATATAGCTGCTATATAATATTGTTATTGAAAATTCAAATGAAAAATACAAAAATTGATTATTAATCAAAAATTTCTTAATTCAAAATTTCCATTATGCCTGTTGCATTGAACAATTTTAAGAAAGAAAAAATTACATTTTAATTCTCGTATAGAATTTAGTCGCCAAAAAATCAATGTTCAAAGAAGTTGTATAGAAAAACTCTACTGTATACGGGGATACATGTTTGGATATCTTGATAAAATTTTTGGATTTTTATGTAAAATGTTTGAAAATTCGAGTTATTAACTATATTAAATCAATTTTTATTATTAAAAATATTAAGATTATTAAAAATTATTTAGTGAAAAATTTTTAAATTGAAAATTAAATAATACTAAATAATTCGATTTTAAAAGTGAATTAAAATTTAAAGTGTTATAAAAGATATTTTTAATTTAACAGCAAAAAAATTAAAATAAAATTCATTTTGATTAAAAAATAAAATAATTATTTCCTTGAAAAATAAAAAATCCCCTAAATTCTTTGAAATAAAGTGGGATAATTTTAGAAATTCAGAAAAGTTTACGATAATTCAGAAAAGTTTTCAATTTTGTATATTGAACACACATTATGTACAAATAAATTTATTGATTTAACTTTTGTTTTAAAGAGAATTCAGAAAAAAAAAATATATTCTTTCCGTTTATCATAAAAATATTTTATTATTTAATTCACAATTCACAAAAAAAAAGCAAAACAAGAAGAAAAAACAAAACAATATCCAAAAAATGTATGAGAACTCAATAGAAGAAATTCAAAATGCAAGGTAAGTTTTGAATTATTACTATAGTACGTGAATATATATATGTATGCATGTATTGTGGGTGTCTATATACGTATATATATTATTATATATTATTATAAATATGATATATATGTGGAAATACAAATATTTTTCTTGTTATCCTTTAATAAATTACCACGATAATACTAATTTTTGTAAAAATAGAAAAAATAAGCAAAAAAAAAATAAAAAATAACATAAAAAGGTTATGAACGTGACTTGGTTTTTTTTTGTTTCAAAGCTAAAAATATCATTTATAGTTAAATAATTTTAAAGGTGTTAAAATAATACCAAATTTAGCTACTAATGATTAATATTATTGAACTTTGAATATTAAAAATATTTTCGCCTAAACATATGCAATTTTATTTCATATAACAAACAAATTTTTTATTTTTCATTGAATTTTTTTTTTTGTTTTTTTTTTTAAATTAAAGTACATGTTATAGTCCTTTTAACTCAAATATGTACATTTTTTAAAAACATATTAAATCTTCTCTGTTATAGCAAGAAATAACTAAAATTTAGTTATTATAGGAATAGGTTAAAATTTAGGATTTATAGGAATATAGATGGCTACTTATACCTTAAATTATTCTCGAAATGAATTTTTACCATAAATTTAATCTCCAAATTTGAATTTGAATTATTTTTTTGTGTAATTTCATTAATTTATTATTGTTAAATTTTATAATTCAGTACTCAGAGTATATAAGGAATAATATTTGATGATCTTGGTAAAATGTAAATTTCCCATATAAATTTAATAATATTATACATATTTATATATGTGAAAATTTAGGTAAGTTCGGAATTGCTTTTTAAAAAATTGTGTAAATATACATATTATGTGATTTTCCTAAAATAGGCTGAGTGACTTCGATCACCAGATAATTAACATTTTTGGAAAAACTTTTAATTCTTAAAAACTGCTGAACATTGCTTCAGAAAATTAATTAAAAAACCACAATATTTGATCTCAATAAATTAATTAAAATTTCATATAAATTTAATTTTCATATTAGATTGGATTTAGTATTAATTAATTAACAAAATTTTAATTAATTAGAAATTACAAAAATTAATTGAAATTGTTTTAATAAATTATCCAAAAATCACCCAATATCAGTTCGAATAGTAAATGATTATTGCAGTACAATATTAGAAATTAATAAATATTGTATAAAATGTGTGTTTTAAATATTTCAAGCTTAATTAAGTAAGATTAAACTATATGAAATAAAATTAAAATTCTGGTGTATGCTATCACAGTTGTAAAAATATTAATGATATTAATGATATTAATTTTTAGAGCAAAAGTTTTGTTCCTGTAAAATTATACAGGAATTTTTTTTATATAGAAAAAGTGTTTTTTTTCGTTAACTTTTCCGGAAATTCATTAATAATAGTATAAAAATAGTATGGTATAATGCCTTTGTATAATATGATAGCAAACCAAGAATTTCCAAAATTAATAAAATTCTCTAATAGAACATGATTATCCATTATTGTAACAATTAATTTCGAATACAATTTTTTCGAATTTCATAAATTTTAACAAATGGTTTAAATAATTCAATAAATTTTAAGAATTATTTGAACACTTAATACAGAAGTTTATTGGAACATGCTTAGTACAGAATTTTGTGCAATATTTTCCAAAAAAATTAAATTTTAACTCACCAATCGGGTTTTAATCGTATTTAATATTTCAATATATTAGAATTAAATTTAAATTCTCCTTTTTGTTTTATTTATTAATAAACTTTAATTCAAATTTGAAAAGTATGAGAAATAAATTAATTTTAAGAAATAAAAATTTTTTTTTTTTCCAATTTTTAATTTCACTTCATATTAAAATTGTTAATAGTTTTCTTTATATTTTATAAATTTCTCGTTTTTATTTTAAAATTATATTTAAATTTTTGTAAATTAAATATTATTAAATTATTTTTTAATTAAAATATTTTTAATAAAATTTTTCACAGTTTTTTTTTTCAAATTTTTAAAATTTTTAAATTTTTCCAAATGTTTTTTCAAAATTCTTTTCTAATAATATACTCGTATTAGAAATTATTAAAACTTCCTTTATGACTGTTGGATTTATTCTGATAGAATTCATTCAAATGTATCCTGTTTTTATATAAAAAAAACAATAAAATGAAAAAAAAAAGAATTATAATAAATAATAACAAGATATCCTTAGAGCCTGTTGAATATCATCTGTTTGATTTTTGCATTTGTATAGGTTGAAGAATGTATTCATGTACATTTGTGTGTATGTATGTATATATATATTTATGAATGAATTTAACATTGGACCATAAAATTTTTTATTGTTTATTTCTTGTTTTCTTCTTTTTCTATTGTTTTGTTTGTATGTTTATGGTATAATATGTTATACGATTATTTTCCAGCAATATCCGAAAGGATATTTTTCTTTATTAGTTTTTTGTATATTTATATATATCATATATATATATATATATATATATATATATATATATATATATACAAATTAACATAATAATTTTAGATTTATAAAATACTAGAATAATATTTTTAACACTTCTTTCATTTGTTAAAAAAAATGCTTTGCGGTATGCATATAAAATTCTACTCCGCAGTGCTATTGTAAATATTTATGCATTGTTTATAAACATTTTGAATTCCATCATAAATTCCACTCGTAAAATCCTACGAATTACGAACTTAGCCACGACGTAGACTTTTAAATGATCAAAAATTCCTTTCGTAAAGATTAGAAATGGTAGCATCATTTTTCGGTCTTTCATAATCTGTATTTTATTTCAACTATCAAATGTTTATTTATATTTTTTCGTTTTTTCTTTATTAAAAAATAACTTATTATGCTACAACTTATTAATTTAAATTAAATTTTTCCAATTATATTTTTGGTTAATTTTTATCTTGTATATGTTCATACGTATGTAGTAAATAAATATATAGTTATCTCATACATGATTCTTTTATGAATGAAATATGTATTTACTTGTTGCTGTAATTTTATTGATGATGTTGCTAGACTACAGTTTTAATGTATAGGCACAATGGTTATTAATAAAAATATTGTTAGCGACCATTTTAAAAATACATATATTGAAATGTTGCTGAACATTCCATATTAAATTTGTAATTAAAGGTTTTATGTTTTAATACATATAGATTTTTTTGTTGTTTTTACAAAAATTCAAAAAAGAAATTAATGGAAAAATTAATTTCGTTATTAAGAGAGAGCGGGAAATCATTGAATTTAATATTTCTTTAAAAATTCATTAACGCTTCATCTTATTATTACATTTTATTATTTAATATTTCTCAAATAGTATTGAAGTAAAAGAATCCCTTATGCTTATAAAAACAGCATTCAACTCACGTAATATTGAAATTTTTTAAACGATTTCTATTCAACAAATTCTTTGTATTTCTAAAAATTATGCGAAAATCACTAAAAATTTGTGTTTCCTGTAGATTTAATTGCATAATTATATTTGCTGCTTTAAAAATTTAAATGGAATTACATATAAGTTCTGTATAATATTTGAATATCTAACAATTCAATTAAACAGAGCTGCGAATCTCTTAACATGTAAACATTTATATAACTGCCTATAATGTCGGAAATTACATATTATAAATTTAATATTGTATTGATTGTGCTAATATTCAGGGCACTGCGTTAGTTCTCCGCTTATTGAATCTTCGCTTAATGAAGAGAATTAATTTTCTAATCTTATCATATGAAATCCCATTGAAATTTACAAAAAATCCTATTTTCAAATATATTTGCAAAAACTGACAGTGGAAAACTACAAAAAAAAATTTACATGTTTTATACACTTATATACGTACATACATATAATTGGATAAATTCATTAAATACTTAAAATACAAATTATAGGAATGTATATAGACAATGTCCTTCATCAATATCCTTTTCCCTATAACACAAATATAATCTTATACATAAAATATTATTAAATATCATCTAATATAAAATATTATCTAATTGAATGTTAAGTTTAGGTTTACAAAAATATTGATGGCGCTAGAAAATTACATGCATTATAAAGAGTTGATAATGTTCACGACATATAAGTTATTGTTTTCTATTTTTATGATATTTAAAATGAGTAGTTTAATTAAATCTTAATAAAAGTATCAAATTTTTTTCTTTTTTAATTTTTTTTTGACAAATTAATTTGATTTATTTATATAAAATTTATTTATACTTGTAAATTGTGTTGTAATATTTAAAGTGGGTGGTTTAAAAAATATAATTGTATAATTGTACACACATACATATATTTGTATTATAAGATTACTGAACTGAAGTATTACGTTAAGTGTACAGTATTTACTTAAAATAAAAAACTTAAGACATTATAAGACCAAAAATACTAAAACAAAATTAATATTTAACGTCTATAGTTTACGAAATGGTCATTTTGACGCCAGATATAAAACAAAAAATTGTTTAGAAAACTATATGAGTACTTTATTAGCTATTAAAGGATAGATTATAATTTTTTAAGCTCCCACATATATGCAGAAATTTTGATAAAATGTGAAAATTCAAATTTTTAACAATTTCTATTGTTCAGTTTTCATATTATTGCGTACATAATAGCTATGTATGTAGATCTATAGCATATTCATGTTAATTTTATTATTAATGTTGAAATTTCCTTAAACTTAGATAGCTAGTTTAAGAAATGTTATAGTCAAGAGTATTATTTTATTTTTACCTTTCATATTATTTCATATAACAATATCATAATAGTAAATGATAATGCAAAAATTGTTGAATTTTTCTAATATTTCAAATAATTTGCAAATAATTAATTTCAAATTACAATTTAAAATAATTTTCATTATAATTTTAGTAGTTTTTTTTATTTTATAAGCTTAAAGTAGCTCGTATATATAGAATAGATTCTTTTAATTGTGTTTGTTTTATTTAAATGAAACAATAAAAAAAAATTATGTTTTAACAATTTTTCATATAAAAGTAGTTTTCAAGTTTATAAAATAAAAAATAAAAAAAGGGATTCGTATATTGTTATATTGTAGTTATTTCTTGTAGTTTTTAATAATAAATCCTTTAGATTCTATTGAAATACAAAATACTCGTATATTCATGTACCATAGTGTATGTTTATGATATTTTGTATATTTCAAAAAAAGTTTGCATAAAAATTAATTTTTTGTCATCATGACTTTGCTTTTAAACACCTACTCTATGTATGCTATGCTTTCATATTTGAATACAACTTGAGTATATTAAAAAAAAAAACTTAAATATAAAGATAACATTCAAAAAAGGACATTTTTCTAACAAGTGTTTTAAAAACGAAATAAATTGGTCATATGTACTCTATGGTAGAATTTTTCAATTTGTATATATTTTGGGAATTTTTCAACTGAGGAAAACATGTAGAGAAAGATATTTTTTAATTTGAAATTTTTAAGTAAACTGTGCGAGGTGTAAATTGAAAATTGAATTAAAATTAAATAAGAGATGCTCAGTTTGTAAGTTTTTGTCAAATATTTTATGATATGGTGATATTCAATTATATCTGACCGTTGGTGCATTGATTGTGGCAGCGGACTTTTAACCCAAGGGTCTCGAGCTACAGCCATACGCTATATGCTATAATATAGACTTTATCATTTGGTAATGCATTAACACCGTGTTGTATGTTGCCAATTTAGAGCTACGAAAACTATTGGTTCATATAATTCATAAAAATGCATTTGGAGATTATAATACAGGACGTTTTCCTTTAATAATTATGAAAATATGTGATTTAAAGATTAAAGTTGTAAACCATCGAAATAGTTTTAGTATACTAGCATTGAATGTTGCATACGTTTGAGATTTAAGGAGAAAATAAATTTATAATGTATACATACTTGTAAATAACCTGAGAGGCGAATATTAAATTGAAAATTAAGTATTATAAATAAAGAAAAGCCTCGCAATATTTGCTATAATAAACAAAGCAATAATTCCCAAAATTCAAATATAATATTAGATTTTTGGATTTTTATATAAAAAATTAATTAGAATAATTTTGTAATTAAATTTATTTTTTCCATCAATTTTGAAACCTAGTCAAAAGTTATAATTAAAAGTTTAATTTCCTTAATTTTTTTTCCTCTGTGTAATTCAATAATAATAAAAAAAAAATTGGCATAATTCCAAAATGTCTCTTTACTAATCACTTAAATAATAAAATATTATTTTTTTCACATCAGCTCCTTATATTATGTTTTGTTGTCCTTTGTTTACCATTATCCTCAAAAAAAAAAAATGAATTTTCTCTTTTTTGTTTTTATATAAATTTTTCTGCCTACCCATTCTTATTTATAGATCTTCAAAAATCAAGGTTATTTTTGTTTTTTTTTTTTAAAGAAGGGACATAACATAATGTTTGTACTATTACGTATTTGGACTAAACCACAAGCAAACGTAAAATATTTGTTCAGTTTTTTATTTTAAAATTTATGTTGCGTTGGTGTCTCTTTTAGATTCATAAACTTTTCAGTTCGATCATGTGCTATTTGCTAAATTACAAATAGAAATGTAGTTGTTAAAACTAAAATGAAATTTTTCTTAAATTGAATATTTTGTTAATTTGATTATTTACGCGAAACATGTACTCGTATAATTAAATTTGAAATTGTTAAAAAATTTACTTCTGATTTCTAATACTGTTTACGATTTTAGTTATTGGATTTCAAATTAATTGCAGAATCTATTAAAACTAA